CATAATATAAGAATAATCGTAAATATAGGGTGATTCAGAACTTATTCAAACAAAAAATTTAGGATGTACAGGGGACTCTTACAAATGCAATTTTGTAAAGAAAAAATTAAAAAGGACAGTTCGAATATGATTTAAACATACACTTCTGTACAGCATCTGACCTTGTACAATGCGACCGGCATGGCGGCAAAGTGTGATAAAAGCGCAAGGAAAGAAATAATATTTATTTATGGTACTAGTGTGTTACGGTATATACAGCGTGGTAAAAAAGTTCTGCATAAAATTCATATATTCGTTAAACAAATTTTTTTCGAAAAACGGTGAGACCCGTCGATTTTTATTTGATCCAGGGCACCTTGTTATGTGGAAATTTTTCGATGATCCACTTACGGCAGCGATGACATATTTTTTTTTAAATGTCAACGCATATTTTTTTCGTTCGAAATTGATGACAGTGATAATTATCTAAACAACGGTGTGACAATTTCGATGTCTTCCATAACAATTTTTTTTAGAGAAAATGGAAGTGACTTATATGACGTAACACATGAATGCCAAAATTTTATCCAACACTTCCATAGAATTTCATTTTAATAATAAATAAAAGTAATTTAAAATTTGAAATTGTCAATGTTAGAAAAAGTAATTTAACGAAATGAATGTACCTATTTTTAAATATTACAAAGGATGCGAGTGTCAACCTAAATTGTGTCTGTAACCAAGGGTTTCATAACTCACTAGTGACTTATCACTAGTGAGTTATAGGCCACATTATTCCTTTAAAACCAAAGAAATTATGGTATCATTATACAGGGTGTCCCAAAAGTATGGAAACAGCACAATAACTTTCGAAAAATGCATTTTGAGGAAAAATGATTCAGACAAAAGATTTAGGATTTTTCCCTGGCTATTCAATGGTGACCCTAGATTTGACCTTTACCTTCAAGGTTATTTCAAGGTCAAGTTAATTTTTTCAAATTGGATGCCCTACTTTTGGCCCGGGAAATGAAAAGAGAGGAAAGTTTTACGTTCAGATATGTCATTGACCATTTTCCGAATTTGACCTCTGATGGTCTTGAAAACAACGGGTTGCAAAAAAATTACCATAACTAACGTTGTAGGATTTTTCCCTGGCTATCTGACGGTGACCCTTGATTTGACCGTGACCTTCACCTTCAACAACCGCACTATATCAATTTTGGCAAAAATCGGTTGATTTTTGAAATCGCGGCCGCCATCTTGGACTAAAATTCCTCAAAAACAGATTTCAGATTCGTAGTCAGCGACCCCAAAAACCCGCCTATACCAAATTTGGCGTAAATCGGTTAATTTTTTGGAACCGCGTCCGCCATCTTGGATCCGCCATCTTGGACTAAAATTCCTCAAAAAAGGATTTCAGATTCGCAGTCAGCGACCCCAAAAACCCCCCTATACCAAATTTGGCGTAAATTGGTTAATTTTTTGGAATCGCGTCCGCCATCTTGGAAAATAGTCAAGGACATATCTAAACGTAAAATTTTCCGCTCTTTTACCATATCTCTAAAATCAGCGGTTTTCGTAATGACGATTGAAAATTGATATTTTGAAATACGCACATGTATTTAAATAAAATGTTTAAATTGAACAACTTTGAACATTTTTTTTAAAAACCAACAAAAACAACCTGGTATGCCAAATTTTATCTTAAACAAAACAATTTTCTTCATAATAATCGTTTCTCATGCCTTAAGCCTTAGACCATTTTGTTGTAGTATTTTGTGACAATAAACACCAAACTGTCACCGGCGTTTAGTTTGTCAGTGTCATTTTACCAGTTTTACGTTTCATTTTAAAAATGCGTTTTCCTGAGAAAGAACGTATTGAAGTACTTATGATGATTGGTTTTGGAGATCCAGAGATTGGTTCCAGATCCAGATATCGGTTTTGGAGATCCAGGGATTTTGGAGATTGGTTTTGGAGATCCAGATATTCCTTATAATGACATATGGTTCCAACACGATGGGGCACCTCCTCATTTTGCAATTGCTATTCGACAATTTCTTGACTTAACTTTCCCTAATAAATGGATTGGGCGCAGAGGTCCTATAGAGCGGCCACCAAGTCACCAGATTGAACCCCTTTAGATTTATTCCTATGTTTTTATTTGAAATCTATATTTTATGTGAATAGACCTAATAATTTTGACTTGAAACAGAGAATACGCCAGGAAATAAGACTTTTTACAGCAGAGATAATTGAAAACATTCAACGGGAAACAATCTTTCGGCTATAAAAATGTATTAAAGTAAACGGAGAAAACATTGAACATTTATTATAAAGCAATTGTTATTTAAATAATGTTTTATGATTAAACATTAACAGCCTTATTCATATACGATAATACTGTCTACTAACATCCTATTAAGATCCTACTAAGAAATTTGTATTCATAAAAGGAATTAGTAAACTATTAGTCCTAGTTGGTAATTCTTTTCAAACGTCATTATTACGAAACCCGATGATTTTAGAGATATGGTATGTTATAAAAAAGTGTTCAGAATTTACCGTATTCAAAAATGGCATAATATACAAAAAAAAAATAATGCGTATGTTATTCTTGAGACACCCTGTGTACAATTTTCTTATGTCAAAAAATCCGCAACTAAAAATACTAATCAACGTGTCCGAGCGTTTTCCACAAAATAATTACCTGAATTTTAAACGAATTGGTTCCTTTCATCATGAACGCACTGTATGAGAATGAAATTCCTAAGTTTGCAGTAAATTTTGCAACAGTGCATGATGTACTCAAACAAATTAGATCGTAAGATTTCTATGGTTTTATGTTGTTTGAATAGCAGAGCGTCGCTTCCAGAGGCAATTTTAAGCAGTAATTTTTCAGCATTAAAATTTTGTTTTTCAACCTAACTAAAGAGTAGATATTAATTTAAGCAAAAAAATCTGAACGTATTTCTGAGTACTTTATTAAAAATTGGTTTTCTTGAAGTCACTGGGGAGGTCGAACCTATAAGAAATCTAACCATCTTTGAGACATAAAATACGTGCCGTTTCATTAAGGCATGTTTCATTTATATTTAATAGTGGATTCAATATCTTTATAGTTCGATAAATAAGCTGTTTATAGTCTGCCTAACTTGTTTCTAGGAACTAAGATAATTGGATTGTGTTCTTATAATGTAATCACAATAGAAATACAAAATGGAATATTTTAACTTTTACTTTAATATCTTCGTTGAACATCAACTTGGTATTATGTATGTATTTATAAACGGAAAATATATTTTAAAATTATTATTATTTCTTTTATTTTTGATTTTCCCTAATACATCGGTTATCTCTTAAAGGGGCTATTTGTGTCTCATTAGCCATATGTTTTGTAATGACTATTGTTACATTCGACAATAAATCTGCTACAGGAGCATCATTTCCTATGTTAAGTATCAGCAACATAGATGCTCATCTGTCTGTACCCCTTTTTATTCATCTATACTCTGTGTATTAGATTTTTCGTGAACTTTAACATGACTGATGTTTTTTTACCTGGAAATAAGCACCTTACGAGTAAAATGTCAATAATCAAAATTTATTCATTTCGCGGAGGATATATTAATGCTAAAATTACTCAATTCTCCCTCTCTATAGGTGGGAAGGGAGGTAACTTCGAAATATTAATTATAGATTCGAATTCTACGGTACGTAGGATTTATCTGAAACATTTTCTTCTTAAAGTTATTTCTTTCTTTCTACATTTATTTTGTGTTTTTGCATTCAGAAAAAAAGAAATAATACAAATATTAAATGTGAATAAATAAAACATTTTTATAAAAATTGGAAATGGTATCTTTAAAACAACAAAAAAATACATTTATTTGGAAGCAGATTCAATCAAGCACTCCGATAAGCCAGAAGCGAAGAAAATCGCTTTGACCAAGTATCCTAAACCGGACGACTGTTCCTGGATTACCATAATAGTAGTTTCTTAACAAGTCACTTTTCAGTAACTGCGATTTGAGAAATAAAATTTGTTTTAAAAGTGCTTTTTGATAAAAAAACTTTTTGATTATTTATAGTGAAAACGTGATATTTTTTATTGCAAACGTATTGCAGAATCGTATGCATAGGCTCATCTATCATGAATCCAAAAAATTATTTCAGAAAAATTCTACGTACTTTTAGACGTAGAATTCGAATCTACAATTAAAAATAGGGGTTCCTATTTTAGATTGCAAAGAGTTCCTCCATAAACTGGAGTTCTCTTCAAAAACTGGTCCCAATTCTACCCTAAACCACATAATAATAGACCTACCAAAATGAACATGTTCCACCAGTCTAATATCTTTTTCTGCACTTTCACCACAATCAACTTACTAGTACAACGAAGAGCTTGATTCATCAATGAACAAACCGAATCTCTTGCTACAGTCTCCTCCTTCCGCCATCATGGCCATAATCACAAGAATTAGTTGTTTCATACCTTAACCATGCGTTATTGACTGCTTGATGCATTAACTAACTGAGTGCTACCAAACCCTGCTCTCTATCATAGCATCCTGTTCAGAATTTCAAATGAACTGATGTATAAATTTTTTGTTTTCAAAGACACCTATTACAATTACAACAATAAATCGTTGTGTTTGTTCAATTCATTATGTTTTAATTCAGCTAAAAATGGAGTCGTAAACAAAAAATTATGTCACTTTCATGCCTGAATTACCAAAAAGTTGTATATACTAGAAGCTATTAAATTCGCAAAAATTCAAATATATAGGGTGATCAGGGGGATGAAAATCTCTTGACGAAAAGTGGGTACAACAAAATTGCGCGACTTTCTATATCACCCTGTGTAATGCAAATAACTGACACAATATCGCAGAGAGTTGTAATTGATTCCCTTTAGTTGGTTCTAAAACCAATTAACTTTTTTTAAGCATTTTAAGGTAATTCTGAACGGATAAGAAACAAACAGAACAAGATAGATATAAAAATATATCTCTATTAATATTGAAAAAAAATATCTACATTTAAAATTACATTATGTACTTGGAGAAAATTCAACACCCTTGGAAACTAAGCAGCTTAAACGTCGATATACTATCATCTAAACACTTATATTTACGATATCAACAAAAAATCTACTTGAGCCATTTGCGGGGCAATCCCCAAACCCCGTCTCGTGTCGATCCTTTCAGAATGTCGAGAAAATGGTCCGGCCTTTTCGTTATCCTCTTAATCCTGGCGGCGTTCGCGATCTTGGCTGTAACTCTGTAGTTGAGTACGCAATCCTCCTGCTCCGGTGAATCCACAGAACCCGGTCGAAGGTAACGTAAATTTTTTAAGGCCTGATCGGCCTCCAGACCGTGAAAATACATGAGGTAGACGGCCACCATGACACCGGTCCTACCCAGTCCCATTCGGCAATGAACTCCTAGTGGCTAAAAGTATATACAAAATTAATAGCTTTATAAAAATATAAATAAAAGAGTCAAATTTAAACTAAATACGCATAATTATTTAATAGAAAACTTGCTGAGATGTGCTAATTTCACTGTATTAAACCACGAAGTTGATGGAATTGAACTACGCAAAGTTGTATATGTTACACGGACCTATTACTAAACTACTACTAAACTTTTTATGTGAAATGGGAGGAGAAATATTAAATAAATAAGCAACTTTTTAGACGTTACATCAAAAACTATATTTGATATGCATTTTCCCTCAAGTATTTTTAATATGCAGGGGTGTATTTAACAAGATTTAAGAAAAAGACATTTATCTCTATTTACATAGAGAACTGGCCTTCGAATATTTTTTCCATATGAGACTCGCAACATAAATTTATAGCAGACGAGGAAGAACAAGAGGAAAATGAATAATAATAAAAGACCAATAAATTACAAAGATAATAAGCAAAATAAGCCGTGATGAAATTAGATACTACTAGTAGGTAATACAGAAAGGGAGTATTTTGAGTTTCTCATATCAGAGAACGGTAACAACAATCAGCATGTCGGATCAAAAAACCAAGTGTTAATAAATGGAATAATTCAGAAATTAAAGCTCACGCTACAATTTTTGATAATAGGTACCCAGAACACTCAAAACCTATAAAGGAGGAAACACAAAATACCGCCAATTATAGACCGATCACATTGCCTGCTTTATACAAGATCATCAGAACGGCAATAACAAATAAAATTGATCAACATCTCTAACTAACAATAACATATTGACCAAAGGAAAATAGGATCTAAAAGAGGATAGATAATACAATACAGGATGTTTCTAAAATAGGGTTCCAAACTTCTGCTGCGTTTATAAATCATTAAAATAAGTCAAAAGTTCCTATTAACATGTGCCCTAAAACGCACCCTTAGGAAGTTATATGCCCATAAAAGGGCTCAAACAAAACGTGTTTTTTTTTCAAATAAATTGCAGTTATGAAGGATCCAACCATTTAATAAATAATTTAGGACATAAACTAAGACTATTTAAATTTAGAGTTACACTTACTAATTAAAGAACTAATTACTACTGCAGACAATAGCTAAATGTGAAATAGAAAATAATGGGATAAAAATTAATAATAATAAGTTAAATTACAAGAACTGCTCGAAGTGACCACCTTGCATTTCGATGCATAATCTAGCTCGACGCTTCAATGATTTGCGAACGCTTTGGAAAATTCTAGGTGTTTGCCTAGGTGTTTGGTTTCAATTTCCTCCCGTAGTTGCCGAATGGTCTCTGTTAGTCGCGGGGCATTGACGTGATGGTCCACTGGCTGACCACTCCTAACTGTGTTTGCTGGTAATGTTGGTATGGTAAATAATTACAACAAGGTAGCATGTTTGCATTTTATTGAGCATGCTCTCGCACCGAAGGATGAAGAGCGACTGACTTGAACATACACAGCGAGAACGAATATACAGAGAGCCAGCGCTGTGCAGGCTGCGCGCGACATCTGCTTACGAACACAGAGGCGTAACATAACTGCCCCCCTTGATAGGTCGTACCTTTCACAATGAAAATGCTACATTATTGGTATTATACATAGTACATAGTATATAGTGGACTGCAAAAATGATAGTATAACATATTTTGCACAACAATGTAAACAACATAAACATAATACAAATGCATATAAATGCACATATACAATAATAAAGTTGTATTTATCTAAAGCGGATCAACCGTCCTTTTCTATAGGTAAAATCGCCAATTCACTCACACTACGCTTCACCTCACCACTGCGTGTTTTTAAAGTCACTACACGCACTAAACCGTCTTGACCTGGGTGTGTCTGGATAATGCGGCCAAGCTTCCAACGATGAGGTGGCGCGTTCGGTTCTCTTATGATGCATAGAACTCCTTCGGTGATGGGACGTCTTTCTTCGATGGTCCATTTATTCCGTTGTCGGAGATGGTCAAGATAGTCTTTAGACTATCGAGTCCAAAACTGTTGAACGTAAAATCTCATATGTTTGTATCGGTTGACGTGCGTGCTCCGAACATCTTAAACAGGTACTTCAGGTACTGATGTAAGTGGAGCGCCAATTAGAAAATGACCAGGGGCGCTATTCTTGACTTCACTCGAATTGTTTCGTATTCGAACCGAAACGATGTATTAAAATACGAATGACTATTGTAAATGCTATTATTGACAACCCTTCGAATCGAGTTTCGTTTCAATTCGAGCACCACATTTAGCAACGTTGCTATTACAACTTTCATGTGATGTTCTATGGATTTTCTAACTTAAGAACGAAATTCAANGGTTGGAACGAACCATTTTCTCTTAAACGTTGATGGATTCTCTGAAATATCTGTCGAGAATGAAGTCTTCTATTCGGGTGTACTGCTGCATACAGACGCCTCGCTTCTGATGCATTTCCAGCCGCACGGCCGTACATAAAGTGGATATATGCCATTTCCGTGTTTGAATATGACTCCATTTTATGAGTTGCAATAATGTTGTATACTTAAATTTTCCACTCGCCACTTTTACTAATTAAACACTGCAAAGCTCAATTGACAGTTTATCAATAACTTAAATTGTTAAGCGTTCTGGCAACGTCAGTCTTTTATTTGCCATGGTAAACAGATTTTTGTAATTTTTGACCTAATAACTTAAAGAGCAGAGTAATTTTCAAACTCAATTTACTCGAAAACCATTGGAAATATTGATTTGGACAAAGATAATATTTTTTACGTAAAATTGTTAAGATTTTATAAATATGTAAAGAAAATTATAAAAAAATTGATATAAAAAAAATTACGGGCCGAAAACTCCCTTCACCAACCTAAATGGGACGCATATGGTTTGCATGTCGAAAAACGGAACAGCCCATGTTATTTAACGTAAAAAGTTATGTAAGACCCATAATTTTTTTTCTATTTATTTGCGACCGTTTTGTCAATAACAGAAAAAAACAGTCATATAACTTCCTAAGGGTGCGTTTTAGGGCACATGTTAAAAGGAACTTTTTGGCTTATTTTAATGAGTTATAAACGCAGCAGAAGTTTGGAACCCTATTTTAGAAACACCCTGTATAGAAACATTTGCCAACAAAATGTACAAGTAATATGCCTACCTACACTGATTACAAAAAAAGCCTTCGATGAACCTCCACCACTGGATAATTAAGACATATTTTAACAATATACATCCTGCTATTCTATCCACTGCAATGAGAGTAAGGAGGAGCACCTTATGCGCTATTTGGTTCTGTATATGTCTTAATCAAATACACCCATTACACATAGATATGAATTAAATAACAGGAAGTAACATTATTTAAAATAAACCACACAATAGAAGCTGATACAGGGTGTCCCTGAAAAGGATGGACAACGCTTGATGAAAATAAGACTATTTAGCCTAATTTACCTATATACAAAACTGCACGCCTACTAAGATATAGCCTTCTAAATATAGAATAAATAACCTAGTTTTCTTCAAATAATTTGAAAAGTATTTTTCTTAGAAACTTCAAATTTAGTACACATATTTTGTTATATAAGGGCAATATAAATAAAGAATTTGGTGAGAATACATATGCAGGATGTTCTCTTTCTAGTGCCTTAAAAAAAACAAAATTAACTACACATTTTTAGTCAACTAATAATATAAGAAAGTCAACATCAACATTTTAAATAAACTTAAATTGATATTTGTAATCACATTAAAAGTATAGTAAATGCTCAAAGTGACTTTCTTCTTAGGAAATTAAAATGATTTTTATCCATTACCTACCCCTCATAATATTAATTTCGTTTTGTATTATTCCCATAATTCGTTTTCTGTATTTACTGAAAAGCTATAAACTATGGTCCTCAACGTTCCCCAAAGGAAATAATTAAATGGGTTTAGGTCCGGGCATCGAGGTGGCCATTTTAAAGGGACATTATTTCCTCTACCTATCCACCTGTTAGGATAGTGCTCATCTAATGTAAGTATGACAAAGTTTGGAGAGCCCCATCATGCATGAAAATCATATTCATTCGTAGTGTTATCGGTAATTCTTCAGGCAGATAGGGTTCTCGTTTGGAGAAATTCTAAATAATTTTCTGCGTTCAATGTAGCAGCCCTAACATTAATCTTAAATTCATGTTGGAACCGTCTTTTACTGATTCCATGTGGATTTTCATCACAATAAACATGTTTATTATGTGAATTTTCTTGTGGATATTATTGTCTCTATTTCTGAGTTTCTGAATACTTTGACTGAAAACAAGACGGGATGGAGGATCTATTGGTAGGAAAAAGTTCTTGAACTGATTGAAAGTGGAATTGATGTAATAACTGGTCTTTTAATACTCTATTAACGGAACTTTTTGAAAGCCAACCACTGCCGCTAAACGCCTCGTACCTACTTGCAGAGTTTCTTCGACTCTTTCTAAAATTTGTTCCTCCAGCTGAATAGTTCTAGCCGTCCTGTTTCCCAGTGGCGTCTCTCCGCATTAGCAAATGTCTTGTGAATTAGAATTCTTCGATTAGAAATTCTTTTAGCATATGTTCAAACACTAGCAGAACAATTTTCTTCACAATAACCCAAAACTAGTAACATATCAGTTTGTTCAACAAAAGTATAAATTGTAACCATTGTGTAGGAAGATATTAAAAAACAAGGTAGGCTAAAATTAAATGACACCAAGCTTGACGCTGAACCTTTTAATTATTGTTATGAATTTGTTTCTTTGTTATGTGGAACCTCGTACTAGACTGATCTAATTAAACTGATTTTATATTGTGTAATGTGTATGTGTAAAAAATGCCAATTTTACTCGAAATCCATAAACGATATCAAAATTTTGTAAAAGGCAAAAAATCTTCTAAATTACTGCTTATTTTTAAAAATATAAATTCTGTCATCACTGGCGTACACTCAAAAAAGTTACGGGATAGCCAGTGGCGCACAGGTATTAGAAAGAG